AGGTGTAGGTGTATGGATGTGAAGGAGGCGAGAGAGGTGTCAGGATCGTGCCAAATGGAAGTCTGTAGTCTCTGTCTACCCCTCTGGGTGATAGGCGTGAGTGTTTATGTATATATATATATATATATATATATATATATATATATATATATATATATATATATATATATCTTATATAAAAAAAAAATATTTACCGTACTTAAATAAAAAAAATATTTATTATACATTTAATAAGTAATATTTCAAATTATTAAATATTAAACTTAAGTTCAAGTATATAATTTAAAAACTTAAGTAATTACTAAATTTTAAACTTAAGTTCAAGTATATAATTTTTTTTTTATAGAAGAGGGGACAAACGAGCATGCGGCTCACCTGATGTTAAGTGACTACCGCCGCCCATGATCAACCGCAACACCAGGGGAATTGCAGGTGCGTTGCCGGCCCTTTAGAAAGGAGTAAGCTCTTTTCTTGAAGGTCCCCAGGTCGTATCGGTCCGGAAAAATCGCCGGTGGTAAACTATTCCACAGAGAGGTTGTACGCGGAAGAAAACTCCTTTTGAAGCGTACTGTGGTGGACCGCCAAGCATCCAAATGGTGTGGATGGTATCGGGACGTTTGCCGCGTAGTGCGTTCACGAAATTTGGTGGCTGGGATTAATCCGAACAATTCCTCAGAGCACTCTCATAAATAATGTTAAACCGTTACTGCAGTTTTTGAAAATACGAGTAAGTAAAGCTTACATGGTAGAGTCACGCGGCAGTTATATTAATTTTATCTTGACCCTCTAGAAAACCTCAGCAGCGTCTATCACTTCGACTGCGAATTTCTTGCCTCGAAGGTCTTCCTTGAGCTTAGAATTTTTTTTTTTTTTTTATAGAATAGGGTGACAAACGAGCACACAGTCCACCTGATGGTAAGTGGTTGCTGCGGCCCATAGACATCTACATCTATCCTCCATTAAAAATCAAAATGCAGATGCGTTGTCACCCGTGAAGACTGAGATGGAATGCCTCGTTTCCAGTAAAAAGGGTCTCCGGTTCTCTACACTCACCATACGAAATACAGCAGCATTAAGCTACTATTTCACGCTGGTATTCTGTGAGAGCGTGGTCCTTCCCCGGTCGAGCCGACCCATTCGTGCTACAACTATACTACTAATATAACTGCAGCATGGCTCTACCACGTAATTCACTGAGAGCAAGATCTGGCGAATATGGTGGGTGTTCGAGCAGTTCAAATCCCGTTTCTTGAATGGCAGCTATCACAACTGCGGCTTTGTGAGTTTAGTTTGCTTTGTTTAGTGAAAAAGTATTCCGGCTCGCAATATGCCAAGTCTTTTTTCCTTAATAGCCTAATCTTTTTATTTGGCGTGCGTAGTAAGAGCCCGAAATAGTGGCTCCCTTTTCTAAATATTTAAAGCCAAGCTCTTATGCACGTGGTAGAGCCACGCTGCAGCTATGTTATAGTTGTAGTACGAATGGCCCGGCTCAATCGGGGCAAGACCGCGCTAAACCATATCAGCGTAAAATAGTAGCGTAATGCTGGTGTGTTTCGTATGGTGAGTGTAGACAACCGGAGACATTATTTACTGGAATCGAGGCATTCCATCTTAGTCTTCAGATGACAACGCATTTGCATTTTGATTCCTAATTTAGGATAAATGTGGATGTTTATGAACCACAGCATTCAAATACTATCAGGTGGACTTTGTGCTCGTTTGTCACCCAATACTATAAAAAATATTCTACCATAATCATTCCTTTAGCATCCCAAAAACGGACTCCATATCCTTTCCCGCCGAACTTGATACTTTGAATTTCTTCAGCGTTCGTGAGGAGGCTGGTTTCCAAACAATTCACTATTTTTTGGTTTTAAGATGAAACAGCGGATCCAGGTCTCTTCCATGGTCACGAAACGTGACAAAAATGTTCCTAATCTGCTAGGAACCTTAATAAATTCACCCTTGAAATGTCGACTTGTTTTTCCTTTGGCTCGTCGGTTAACATTCTCGCTAGAAATGCGCAGATACCTTTTTCATATGCAATTCGTTTGCAAAGATTCTTTCAAAATTGCTATATGAAAGCATTGTAACCTTAGCTATACGAGTATGCCTAATGGTTACTCTTCGATCTGCCAATACGACTGCTTTGACTTTTTAACGTTATTTTCAGTGAAGGATGTGGATGGGATTTGTATTCGCGATGTTCATCTTCCGTGGATATTCTGCCCAGCTTAAGTTCTTTAGTATAAAGCCATGTGCCAGATGAAGTGATGAAAGAAAAATCTTCATGGCTTCCGATGGTGGCTTAACGAGTTTCTATTTTACGCGTTTTATTTAATTATAACTATTTTTAGTTGGGCTGGTATTCTGTGAGAGTGTAGTCGTTACCCAGTCATGCAGATCCATTTGTGCTTCAACCATTATATACCTGCAGCATGGCTCTACACATAAAGAAGATCGCGATAAGTTGATTCTCTACGCCGTACGGCTCAGATTTTGTGTTGGAATCCCCACTGGAGAAAATAGGTACTTGTCCAATACCCAAATTGTTAGGTTTCCAGTCAGATGATGTTGTAATTGTTTCTCTGATAGATCGTTGACTACGTGGTAAAGCCATGCTACAGATATATTAGTAGTATACTTGTAGCACAAATAGGTTGATTCAACCGGGGAAGAGCCATGCTCTCACAGAACCCCAGCCCAACGCTGCTGTTTCGTTGTATTTGTCCTCACCGGTGACAACGAATTTACATTTTAGTTTGTAATCGAAGACATATATTGATGTCCATGAGCCACAGTAACCACTAATCATCATGTGGACAGTGTGTGCGTTTGTCATCCTTATCCTATATAACAAAGGTTACTTGGACTCTACAGCTTTAGATACATCGGATACAGGAAGGTACTGTGTGAATAATAGAGTAAAGTTATAATATATATAGCGTTTATATAATTTGTATATTAATATTGCTTAATATAGACATTAAAGTTTCGATAAACTACGGTCAAATATAGACCACTAGGCGACCATTAGGATATAAAAAAAGGAATTTAAATCATCATTATTACATTAGCTTAATAAAGTCACCTTTATGGCACATTAAAAGACCTCTAAAGCTTAGGTGTGACGCGACGCCAAGAATAAAATTGCGTCTAGATATCGTATCCGGATGTACAACATGGCCTTTTTAGCGAGTGAATTATTAAATAACAGATTAGTGTCTTAGTGGTATTTAATTAACATATTAAAATAAACAAACTGATCAATCCAGAAATAAAACTTGGTTTAAAGTTGACCAATTCTATGTATAATATTTTTAAACCTGGTAGAGCCATGTTGCAGATATATTAGTAGTATAGTGGTAGCACGAATGGTCGGCTTGACTGGGGAAGTATCACGCTCTCACTGAATACCAGCGTAAAATAGTAGCTTAATGGTGCTGTGTTTTGTATGGAGAGTGTTGAGTATCGGAGACCTTTTTTACTAGAAACGAGGTATTCCATCTTAGTCCTCAGGGGTGACAACGCATCTGGATAATCGAGGATAAATATAGAGGTCTATGGGCCACAGCAACCACTCACCATAAGGTGGACTGTGTGCTCGTTTGTCACCCCATCCTATAAAAAAATAATCAAATGATGACATAAAGTTATTTTTCTAAACAAAATAGTGAATTCTAGTACTCACGTAAATACTCCACTTTGTCGAAATTTTTATAGAGTTTGATATTCATTTATTTTTTATATTCTATGTTTCTTGCATCCTAGGTGAAGGGAGGGCGGGGGTGGGGCAGAAGTGTTGAACGTCCAAATTAGTGTCATTGATAATCCGGGCTACCTTTAGCTTTAAAATTTTTGGTTGGTTGGCTTTTTTTAATCCTTAGCAAATTTTAGCACGATGTTTGTAGTTAAAAGATGATGCGTTAGAATTCTAGAGTTTTAATAGAGTTTTAATCAACATAAATATTTTAAATTGCAGCAGTATCTTTTTATATAAGGATGTGATTACCACGTGTCTTATTGACTAGAATATTAGATAATCTACATAGCCCAAATTCGACTACAAACTATTCAAAAGGGTTGACTGATAGAGATTGCCATAGGGCATGAAGGTTTTGGCAATAACGTATAAATAAATAAATAAAACACAATTGAAGTAGTATTCCAAAGTCCAGATTAATTATTTATTTACCATGGGCACAGAAAACGACACATAATGATTCGCAGTTATTTTTAATAGTTTTAAAAATATATCTGTAATACTATTTTAACTTTTTTTATGACGTATCACTTTGACATGTTCCTCCATGTCAACGACACCAAATAAACTGATATGATGCTAAGAAAAGTTAAAAAATAATTTCTAGCAAATATATTTTGTGCTAAAACAATATTTATTTATTTATTTATTTAAAATATGTTTTGTTACAAAAATGTACGAAGGCAGAATTAACGCCTTTGTACATTTTCAACCTATTAACATTCAATATCTTCGGAAATAATATGTTTATATATTTTGGTATTGATGAGATATATGACATATATTTGAATAGTGTGTGTGTTTTCTTTGAATTTTTTAACGTCGGTTGTGACTTTTGAGAGCTGATTAAATCTTTCTAATTTGATTTTTTAAATTGCAACAGCGTCATGAAAAAAAAATTGAATGTATGATTGCGAGATAATTTTGTGTCATGACAAGCGTCTCTAATAAACATAATCAAAAATAATCTCAAAAGAATTCAAAATTTGACGGGAGACGAATCTGATCTTGATGATGCCGACATTTGAAATCCGAACTGCAATTTAAAGAAGCGAGATTAAACCTGATGATCATTGCCTAAACGTTCAAAGTGAAGAGTGAGTGAGAAAAAAATAGAAAAAAAACCACGACACATAACCACTTTTGCCTAAAGGAACCGGTCTATGTAACTAACTTCACGCAGTCGCATTTCATTATGCGAAGGTCAATCCACGAGTTGAGTCTCGGCTCAGCTCAGATGCTAGCCGACATTGGTGGGGAGCACACGCTCGTCCTGTCGGCTCCCAAAACTTTTACGTCACCAAAAGCCAATGGTACAGAAGTTAAAGTGACGTTTAAAAAAACTTTCAGTGCCCGTCCGTGTTACCTGTAGAGACAGCTAAAACTGTGTTACAAGTCGTGATAAATGTAAGGTTCAACTAGAAAGTTGCAATTGCATTGACAAGTATTTCTGTACAAACAGTGCTTGTATGTGTACTATAGTTTAACTTTTGTGCAGTGCTTACGTGAGGTTTTTGAACTGTATCCGGAAACTTTTAGGTTATCTGGTGAGTGCTCTTATTGCTTAAAACGTTTTAACGGTACACGTTAAACTTCATTATTTTTTTTCCTTAGCTGTCTCTTCGAAAACATGTAAAAAGTTTTGTTGTGTTTTAATAAAAATTAAAATACAACAAAACTTTTCAGGTTTCACTTCCTGTACGTTTTCCGGAAATAAATATTTGCAATTTATAAATGTTATGCTTTTTAAATATTATTATTTGAAAAACCACGATCAGCTGTAATAATATTTAAATTTTAATACTTTAAGTTAATTGTTTACATTAATGTATTATATTTTAAATAAATACATAAAAAAATCTGTAACTCGTACTTAAGATTTATTTTAAAGCAGACAACATATCTTCAGGTTTTATTCTTAATCGTGTCTAGTTTCCAGCCAGTCTCGGCATGCAAAATTACTCAACTTAAAAATATTTTTTTTTTTTTGGTATTTTTTTTCATCTGTTGCCTTAACGCTCACACCCGTCGACGCTGGGATGTATTCCTATTGTCTAATATCTAGATTTTATTTGGTCCATTACCTAAACTTAAAACAGATAATTTATTTTTTAAGTATAAAATAACATAAAATTGCTACGCATTTTCGTTTACGTTACGTTTAGCTATATCGATTCTTTTATGTCCTTTACCAAATATATAGGTAATTTCCTTTTGCATCATTTCTTCATCATCTTCTTTCTTTCAGAATATAGGTATCTGCCGTTCTTAAATGACATAGGAGAAGTACATATGTTTATTTTGAACATTCTCATAATAACATAGGCATTTCATTTATCGCAGGAGAAAAGTGTGAAGTTCCTAGTCAAAACTTCGTTTACTTCTCGAAATTACGAATTTATTTTCGCCGTAATATCTTTAACCATTAGCTCAAAATGAACACACACTTTTATGTCATGTGAGGACGCTACGTGACCTTGTTTTTCTATTATCCTAGATTTTTTAATAATAGAGTAATAAACGAGTACATAGTCGGTCGGATATTAAGTGGATGCTGTGCCCCAGAGACACCTACATTTGTCCTCGGTTAAATATCCAAATATCAGTTTAAAATCGTCTACAGGTCCCTATACTTGTCATACGAAACCGTCACCCGTGAGGACTAAGATGGAATGCCTCGTTTCCAGTAAAAAGGGTCTCCGGTTCTCTACACCCACTATACAAAACACAGCAACATTAAGGTATTCTGTGAGAGCATGGTCCTTCCCCGGTCGAGCCGACCCATTCGTGCTACAACTATACTACCAATATAACAGCAGCATGGCTCTACCACGTAAGAAAAACGTGTGTGCTCGTTTGTCAACCAATGCTATAAAAAGCATAATTATAATAATATATCTATATGTAATAATATATCTGTATGTTTACATTCATTATCAGGTATCAGGTTATCTTGCAGATAAAAATGTTAAAAGAAATCAATCTTTGATTTCGACGAATTTCGTTTATCTATTACATTTATTGATAAATGTATTTATTTGGCGCAACCTAAATTTTAGGATTCTTTAATGTATTACTTTGTCCGGTACCGGTAAGCGATGTGCAGGGCGGCCACTTTCTAGATGGAAGAGATGCAAGAAGTCGATGGATGCAGGTGGTTCTCTATTGGCTTTGTGGCATTCCTTGGAATTCCCTTGGTCCACGTTCAGCAGTGTACTGGTACTGACGATGGGCCGTTATAATGAAAAGTACAAGCAATTGAACTAAACTCCAATTCTTGCATCTTTCAAATTTTCTTTTTGATGTGAGAACTTCTTTAGGCACGTTTGGCACTTTTGAGATGTTGAAAAAACACTGAAGTCAATTTTTTATGAATAAAATTTTATAAAAGTTGTATGTATTTGTAAATATGTTTGTATTATATAGATAATAATCATTCTTTTTCATGAAAAAAACCAATTTGATTACCTTAATTTTATAGTGATGTTATAGCTCATGCGATAGGTACCGGTTTTGAATCCCGGGTCCGGCAAAAAACAGTTATTGCCCGGAGTCAGATAAAAGCTGGCGCTTTACCCCTGTACCCCGTGCCCGTATTAGTAGTAAACTTAAAATTACTGATAAAAATTACTTCTAATTGCTTATTACGTAGAAACACTATATATTATTAAATATATTAGCAGTAGTTCTCCAGGCCGAATTTCGGCCACGGCGGTCAGCCTCAACGCAGAATAGCCAACGGCGCAAGACAGGTTCGAATTGCTCAAGTGTATGCGCAGCACAGGTGCACTCTCTATTCCCTCACTCGCATAATCTGATGGGACGGTAAACTGACGTGACCGGAGAGAGATCAGGCGAAAGACCATCTGCTTTTCGTGCTTTACGAGGCACGGGGGTGAGGCACCGCCAACTTCCTGACTCCGGGCAGCTGCTGAGAATTTCTTGACAGAAAAACTCAAAATTGATTTTTTGACCCGACCCGGGATTCGAACCCGGGACCTCATGTTCAGCGGTCACACCACTACAACCACTAGACTAACTGCCTGTATTTATATATTGGTTAGCAGTATAGCTATATTTTGAAAGGTGTTATCTAACAGTATGCCCTTTGCTCTCAGTGTAGACTAAATGGATCTAACCCAGATGTTCCGGCTACATTACTTTGTCTCTATCTCAGTTATTTTAATTTGAAAGACGAGAAACTTAATGATTTTAATAAGGTTATTGGACGATATAATTTCTAGAGTTAGATACAATAAAAAGCATCATTGATCAGAATAAATATCCTCTAGACCGGATTTCTATGAAAACCTCAATGGAGACTAGTCACTACGCATGAGTGTGTTTGCATACACAGGTGCACTTCCTATTCCGCCACTCTGGTATTCTGATGAGACGGCAATTCGATACGACCGGAGAGAGATCAGGCGCAGGACCAACAGCTTTACGTGCTTTTCGAGGGAGGTTACCGCCAATTTCCATACTCCAGCCCGAGTCAGGAAATTGGCGGTAACCTCCCTCGAAAAGCAAGTGAGAATTTCTTGACAGTACACCCGATAACTGATTTTGGCCCGACCTGGAATTCGATTAGATCGGATTCAATTAATCGGGACTGGCAGTCAAACGTAGTAATCGACATCTTTTCTCTTTGATATAGGCCTTTCGAACGGATCAATCGATTTTGATGTAATTGATGGCAATTGACGAGGCATTTTAAGAAAAATAATATGATTTGTTTTTAAAAACGATTAGACTGTAAATTAAAAACGTATGTGAAGAAAACACTTTTATCAAAATTTTTCATCATCGATTTCTCCTTAATGCATTATTTTGTTTTGAAACAGTTCGCAGCAATCGACGTAGTTTTTCATGTTTAAGAGCTTATTAAATATTAGGATTGATCTTTACATCTGTTTAAAAGTTATTCAAAAAAAAATTCAAAATTTTATTATTGAGGTTCCTCAAAATCTACCGGTTCAAATTGGTTAAAACACTATTGAAAATCTAAGTTTGTTTAAATCAGTCAGACATAGTGACATCCTCGTATGAATAGTCTGAATTGCTTCCTATTTCCCGAAAACGTCGAGATCTGATGAAACCTCCATTTTCCAAATCTGAGGTGAAACATCCAGATTACTTGAAAATCATTGATTTTCATAGCGGGAAATTAGATATGTCCAATATAAATTCACAGTTGATATTCTCCTATTCTACAAAAGAGAAATATATTGTTATATATATCGCAGTCAGAACACGCGATAGCTTCCACTACTATGATTTTGCGTAGAATTTATTGTGTTCTATATCTACTGAATATTGTGAATTTTTGGCATAAATTAGGATTGCGTGAACATGTTAGAGCTAGGTCTAGAAATAGAAATATTTTTATTATAATATTTTTTGCTTTTATTTATTTATCATTCAAATATATTACTGAGAACGCATTACTGTTATAAATATTGTATATGCCTATATACTTTTCAAACGAGCACACAGTCCACCTGATGGTAAGTGGTTTCTGTGGTCCATAGACATCTACATCTATCCACGATTACGAATTAAAATGCTCATGCGTTATCACCCGTGAGGACTATGATGGAGTGCCTCTTTTACAGTAAAAAGGTTGTCCGGTTTCCTACACTCACCATACGAAACACTATTTTAAGCTGGTATTCTGTGAGAGCGTGCTACAACCATAATATAGCTGCAGCCGTGACTATACCACGTAAAACCTACAAGTTTTTCCAGGTAGGTACCTTTATTACCTATTTTACCTCCAATTATGGTAAAGAGACCAGCAATACTTGTAGGCTGGGAGACATTCCGTCCTCCAAGCGCCAAAACGTCTATAGACTTCTTTTTTTGATGTTACCTGCAGGTGTCCGTGGACTATCTCTAGCTATCCGTCGGCCTCTAAGTTCGTTTTTCTGTTCAGTAGTAACTAAATATGGGCTACCATTTTGTTTTGAGGTCAAAAATTAAAAACCATTTAAAAATCAACTTTATATTAATGTTATAATATTCAAACATATATTTTTAAACAGCAAAATAGCAGTCTTATGTTTTTATTACTAAACTATACTATAAAAATTGAGCATTAAACAAAATTGCAAAATTGGCACTAAATATGGAACAGGTACTCAAATATGGGCTATAGCAACTTAATTATCTTTTAAGAAAATTTCAAGCATAAATGCTTATCTAGATCAATAATTAACTTTGGTAAGACTAAGAAATGAATTATTTTAAATCCAAATGTCCCATATCAACTACCAAATTCTGGTCCAGCACAGCCATTATGTGCCAAGAACCCACACATCAAGAATTTAAACCAGAGTCTCCTGAATTTTCTGAAAAAATTTGCTGGCAGAACATACATTATGCATCTGCAGAATCAGGAACTTCTTTGTCGATTATGATATCTGGTTCAGAGTCCGAACAAAACTGGAAAACCTCCCCACCTTCACTGTCAATCACTTCATCGTCACTAGTTGTTTTCTTGTCTTGTTTTTTTCTTATTTCTACGTTTTTGTTTTCTCTACTTTAA